ATAGAAGGATAAAGCATTTGCCGTTGATCAATCCCTTTTTGGGATGCGGCACGCATTCTACTTCCATTTGTACATTCGTAGTGGCGTTTGAATGCGATGTGGCCTATACAATGACTTGCGGGGGCCAGCCGATGTACAAGTCAGTGTTTTTATCCTCCCAGACAAGTCTGGTACCAATTAACCGACCCCGGAGGGATGGAAGGCTTGGTTGGCCAGGATTTGATCCCCAGACCGCTTGGTAAGTGGGCACTTCCCAATACACCGCTTCCGCCTCTGTGATAATTAGGGGTTTGAAATTACGAAGCCCGGTAGTTGCAGTTATCTTAGGATATAACTCGTCAGCTCACCTTCGTGGAATTTACCCGCTTCTTCTTTCTCTTCAATATGCTTTCTTTCGTGATGTTCGTTGTGGTGTTTTCCTGGAAGGGTAAAAACATCAAAACATTTCATTATTGTACCATTCTCCTTTTAGAAGTGCTTCAATAGACCATCTACTGGCCTACCTTCATGAGTTTCAAGCGGCTCTTCTTCTATATCAAAAACGCCTCGCTTTTCGCGATGGTGCTCGTGGTGCCTTTCTGAAGGGTAGACGATTAAAGTTACGAAAATCCTCGCTAGAACTCTTTGAGATAATCAATGTTATACACCTTACCTTCGTGGTTCTTAACTGCTTCAGGCTTTTCTTCAACTTGTTCACGTTTTTCGTGGAGTTCCAGGTGGTGACTTCTTGAAAAATCCGGAACCGATGCATGCTCGTGGTGCTCTCGATTTTCGTGCTGCTCCCGGTGGCGCTCTGACAAAAAAAAACAGAAACTTCCAACTACGGGACTTCTTCTTTCTTGAATGTTTTAGTGAACCCCCTCTTAGACATTTTCTTGCAGTTTTAGCTCTTCCACTAGGTCCTTAGGTACTCGCTTCATTTGCAGACTCTTTACCTGATTCTAAGTGATGGAGCAACGATGGTGGGATCAGTGGTCCGATGGGGTCCCCATATTTCCACTTAGAATCCAGTCCGTGAACAGCTGCGGCTACCGCAAAAACGATGAGAATGACCTTCATTCTGGAATTGCATCTTTCCCAACCGAACTAGGATGCAATGCTACTGAGCTTTCCGAAAAAGAATCCAACTGCATCTAGGCTGAATAAAAAAGCCGAGATGCTGATCAAGACTGCTGGTATACCTATAGGTTTCCTATCGTGACAAATTGACTCAGAATGAATGGTGATACCCATTTAAAACAATGTCGAAAGGATCTCTAAAGTTCGAAAACGGGTGTCATTACCAAAGTGAGCTGTGGTTGTTTGCTGATTTGAGTCATTCTTCCAAGAACCATAACCGGCCCTATTTCTGGCTCAGGAGTACAAATGTCATAGAGTGGCGACCGCAAGCACAGGTAAGGATGTGACAATTTTTCATATCATAGTTTTACTTTACTTCAAAGAGGGGATCGCCTTGGCAGGTTTACCAAGAAATGGCAGAGTGCTTTCAGGCAGATGAAGAGTAGAGAGGGCATTTCAGAACTCCTTTCCGACACTCCCTTATATCCCTAGCTTCTGTTGTCGTATTGCGTATGAATGGTACCATAACAATCAAAAATCTACAAAAATCCCTATAAACGTTCGGAAAGAGATTGACGAATGACATGGGCGTGGATGTAATACAGCAATGTGAGCGCAATATGCGAATATTTCCCATCAATTTGATGAATTTTCTCAACGAAACATCTTCAAACGGTTTGAATTGACGTCATTTGAAACACCGATACGTTTCTGGAGTAGACATCGTTGAGACGGCGAACAGTGAGCAGTGATAGTCACTATGGCCACATTTCTGCCTACGTGCTTCAAATCATTGCTCAATTGGCTCATTTCTAGGAACAGCGTAAGGAATAGCACGTGAAATGTGCTCATTTCATTCGAGAACTTCGGCATAATGTGCGGCTGTTCATCCATTTTTTAGGTATGGCTTCGTCTAGAATGCATGACACTGCAAGTTCTTTCACTAGCACAGCAGAAAAAAGAGAGTATCAGTTTTAATCATTGCCAGATAGCTCCGCCCTATATTGAAAAAAAACTAGCCTGCGTCACCTCAAATCCGTGCATGAGCACTGGTAACGCAAATGTTGTGCATCTGTTGCAGACGTCACTTCTTCCGTTGAAACAAAGTCTGTTTTCATTCAATCAGCCTAACGTTTCGACAAAATCGTCGTCTTCTAAGGCCTAAGCGCGGTTCAAGGTTAGGTTTCACGATCTATTCCACCAAACGCCTTGTCTTTACCAGCGGTTTCCGATACACGTCGGGATTGTCACCAGGCAAACATATAGTTAAAGTATTCCTGAATCAACCCTGGGTTCCACCGATTATACGCGAATGCCGCTTCGACACACGTGCTTCTCAACCTTACCCCTTCCAAGAGCCGTTTGACGAGCATCGCGCGTCATTTTAGCCATTCGATTTGACAAATTACTCCCCTGTAGGCACGATCTCCTAATTTTGCCGTATGAGCAAATAACGGGTGCGTGACGATCTAATCGTGGCAGTGGGCTAGGTCGTCGCTCCAGCCGCCGCAGCTGGTGATGTCGAAGCGGCTTTGCCACAATTTAGCATCCAAACATTGGGGTTGTAAGATTAGGTGAAGTTTCCAGTTATGAAACATGGAATAGGAATCACCTTACCCGTTGATGCAGGTTCTTTGTGCCTTGTCAACAACTGCAAAATTATAATATCATGCTTCTGTTAGAGCCTTCACCTTCCTCTGTGTCTTGGGACGTAATTTTCTATCTGATTGAACCAGATTATTAGTCTCTGAATTTGATTCAGGCAGCTGATTAATAAAAGAAGTCAAATTAAACCCAATGCTGTAACCTTCACATGGTACAAGCTTTGTGCTGTGTGGCTTAAAGGCACGAGTCGGGATTGAATTGATGCGCTATTTTATTCAAACTTTAGGCAAGGGGTGCCATTAGGATAAGTGAGGAGAAAAAGCAAAAAGCACCATAGAAAACTACTAAATTTCCCTTAGGAGGCCGGCCGTAGTACGACGGAGAGACACAGCGCTGCGAGGAGAGGGAGAGCGCGAGATAGTACATTGTACGCGAATCACCTTACCCGTTGGCGCAGGTCTTTGTGCCTTGCCAACAATTACAAAATTATAATATCATGCCCAATGCTGTAACCTTCACATGGTACAAGCTTTGTGCTGTGTGGCTTAAAGGCACGAGTCGGGATTGAATTGATGCGTTATTTTATTCAAACATTAGGCAAGGGGTGCAATGAGGATTAAGTGAGGAGAAAAAGCAAAAAGCACCATAGAAAACACTAAATTTCCCACAGAGACCACGTATGCCGCGGTGGATTACGCTGGCAGCGCGGGCAGCGCGGCGGGCAAGGCCTTAGCGCCATTGCCGCGCACTTTTGGGTCGCGATAGTGTCGCGCCCTCAGTGCTTGGGGAGCCCACTATCGCACCCTGGGAAGAACTTCTGCTGGTTGCCTAATCCTGACTCGTGGCTTTAACTCACTATGGAGATCATAAGGCGACGCTTGCTGGCTTACGGTTCTAGCACCGTTCTCTTTTCAGTTACCTAGCCCCATCCGCAACTTATGTACATTATGGTTATTCTAAAGACCACAGACCAATCGCCGCACCAATCGCCGTGCGCAACGATAGTCGTCGCGTGAGCGGACGTGACCTCGTTAGCTGACGATTGAATTGACCGTCTCCCGCAAATAACACACCCGCCTGACGCGCACTGCTTATCATAGAGCCTGTTCCGCACCAATTGCCGTCCGATGTTTTCGTTGGGAATATTACCAACTGAACATCGTTGTGCAGCTGTGCGCTCTTCTAATGCTCCGTTGAATAGCAGTGCTCACTTCGTCAGATATAAAGGGGAGACATAAGGGCAACTTGTTTTGACGCGGTACCCCTCTTGGGGAGATATGCCGACTTTGGTGTCTTTGTACCGCATAGCCGTTTGCAATGGCTATTTGTGTAGCTAATTGTCGTGATTCACGTCTTTCAACATCTCCAGTGCTCACCCTAGTCGCAGTTCTTAACATATTTTCAAGAATAGTACGTTTAGCAGCGAAGAGGTGAGCCGACGTAGAACCAAAGCGTTTTTCGAGCTACTTTTGCGATACCA